TATTTCTCTACCATTAGGCCAGGAGCTCCTTTAGCTGGGTTATCCACCCCTGTGCTCTGCCTTCCTTGGCACAGCATGGTCCCAGGCACATGACAGACTCTTGATTAATCTTCAAAAAGTCAAGATATGGTGGGAGACCTTCCCACACACCAGCCCGTCTGGGTATAGTTTGGCATTGTAGTTTAACAATCACTGTATTTATTTATAAATGCTCCCCAAAGGCTGAAGATCTAATCAAATTAGGAAATGCTATATAATGACCCACTCATGCATTCTAGACCTCAGTCTTTCCCTGTTGGTTTTTTTTTTTTTTTGTAAATCCACATAATTTCCTATTGTTCATACATTCATGTGAAATATATCATTATTCTTTTCATCATGGAATACCCATCCCTGCGGAATCAGTCTCATTCTCCCTGTTTTCACAAACATGATCAACATCAAATTACATTCCTAATATAATTGTCGATACCAGAAGACACAATTCACTGGGCCCTAGCCTCGCAGCTCCTTTAAAGATACGAATGTCCTCACACTAATTCCTTGGCTGTTTGTTTATCTTTGCAGGAGGGATTGGAGAAGTTCTGCACTCTCTGCATCTGCTGAACAGTTTTCTTGCCTTGTTTGCAGCTTCCAGAGCTCCTCCCCTCTTTGAACATTTTCAGTTTTCCACACTCCTCTGAGCCTCTGAGAACAGCCTTTTGTTCCCTGACAAGAAGAATCTGCAGCCTCATCAGCTCTAAACCAACCTCCTCCCATGCCCTGGGCAAAGTCCTGCTCAGAAAGGGATGAAAGAAAGGGAGGGAGGCGGCCTGGAAGTGATGGTACCAGATGGGGACAAGCAGGGTGAACAGTACACGCAGTTCAGAACAGAGCAATGGGCCGGCAGGGACAGCACTGCTTGCCTGGCTGGGTGGCCTTGGGCCTATCTGGGTCCCATGATCTCACAGTGTGAAGGAGCTGGACCAGAGGATTCTGAATTCTTTCCAGCTCTGAACAGCCCAAACCCTACTTATGATGCTAAGCATCTATGCAATGAACAAAATTGTACGGACACTTGTCTCTGAAAAGTGAAATAGTAAGAGATTTCTTTTCTTTTTCTTTTCCATTTTGCAAAGTTTACTCTAAATCTGCACTACTGTGTCTGTGTGTGTGTTCACAAGACCAAGAGTCTATGATTTGAGATAAAAATAGTAAAGGGTTTTTTTGGGAAGAGTAAGATGAAATAAAATTTAAAAGTAAAGGCAGAAGAGGAAAAAAGGTCCTACCGGAGGCCTCAAATCCAACTGGAGCACTGAAGCTTTGAATTAGCTGCCGGGTTCCTACTTCCAGGACCAAGTCTTTGTAAGCTCTTCTAGCGCCATCTGCTGGTCATTGTGGAAGCAATCGTTTAATTTGGTTCACAAAAAGACTTTGAAGCTAGTCTGGAGAACAGAGCTGTGGTCACATTCAGGATGGTGATAATATTTTATTTACAGGCAAATCTCACTCCAAACACCTCCACAACTCACTTTTGATTTTGAGTTGCAGTAATGGTTGTAACGGGGACACTTGAGCAAGACCCTTTTGTATAAGGAGTGGTCACGCAATTACTATGCATGGTCCCTTGTGCCAGGAGTGACTGATTCTCTAGCTCCCTTCCAGCTACGCTGGGCTTCCTGTAGAGACAGAGGCACTGAAGAAACCCACCCTTAGCCTCGCCATCTTTAAACAGGGTTAGTTTCATCTCCCTCTCTTTGTCCCTCGGGTTGCCACAGATCTTCAACTTGTTGACTTTTCAACAAATTCAATGGTTCAAGCTCTCCCACATGCCCCAGCAGCCCAAAGTGCAGCAGATGCTCCAATTTGGATTTCCACCCACCATTTGCTCTGCTTTTCCCACCACCTAATGGAAGCGGGACCCCTCACTCCCTGTGGGTTCAGACTGCCCAGCACATGATCCATCTGAGCACTTGCCATCTTTCTGACCTCATCCTTCCCACAAAGTGTGCCCAGCAAAGTCCCCTCTGCTCTCTGGGGCTGGTCTTAGGGTGCAGGACAGTATGCATATCCAGCAAGGCCTTTTAAACCACCCTCTGTTGTAAATACTGATGGGAAAGCATTTTTTCTTCTAACACTTCTCATTTCTGTCCTAAAGGGCACCTCTAAAAATACTAGTCTTAAAAAATAGTCCTAACTGAACTCTTTGGATAGATGCATCCATCCATCCATTCATCCATCTGTGAAGTTGTCATGAGATAAGAAATATGTGTTTGATCTTTAGTCCTCAATTCCTTGCACAACGCTTCTAAAAGCTTGTCACTTCCTGAGTGGTAGGGACTATAAGAGCATCTTGTTATACTACTTGGTTTTTATCCTCAGTTCTTAGCACAGTGGGATTCAGAGAGCTTCCAGGTTGGAGAACTCATCCACATTCCAGGAGGGTGGAGCACCCCAAACTCTTCAGCAGCTCCTACACTTGGAATGTTTCCAGACCTTGTCCTCTACACCTCTTCATCTGGCTGCTTACTTGTATCCTTTATAAAATACACTGGCAGTAGTAAGTAAATAAATACATAATTAAAATAAAAGGCACCTCTCAAGTTTTGCTGAACTTCCTCAAGATCTTCACGTGATGCTTATTAGTAAAAAGTGATGAGAAGCTCCATCCTTCTCAAGACAAAGGAGCGCCAGGGGACACCTGATTGGTCCTGCCAGGGAGGGGAGGCTGCCATATTTGGAGAGAGGCAGGAATACCACTCCCTCTGTGCTCCTACATAGCTGGGCAGGCCTGGCTGCCAAGAGTGTGTGCTTGAGGACAGTGCAGCTGTGGCTTGAAAGGCACACCTCCAGAGAGAGCCCAAGGTAGGTGGGGAGGCAGAGTTTGTGCATGCACTCTATTTCTGTAGCCGGGGTTGCTCATTTCTAATCAGACTGCAAACCATACAATAAGTACTTAACTCCCATCTCCTGGGATGGGATACATTGTGAGAATGTTCACTCATCCTAGGTGCTGCGTGTTTATGTTTTGATGCTATAATCAAATGCTATTTAGGGTTGGCTGGTTGGGATTTTCTCTTGCTTTTAAGCCCTTGCTTAGAATGATGAATTTCTTTCTCAGGATCTCTTTGCTTTTGTTTAATTTGATGCACCTGTAGTTGATGTTGTTCTTCTTATTTAAGATTGCTCCCACCAAGGAGCAAGGGCTGATGCCATGGGCTGTGGCCCCTGTTTGGGGGGTTAATGAATGTTGGCTTGAATCAATTTGGAGAAAGCTGCCCTGAGCTCACTGGGGATTCGGGAGCAGGGAGGGTGGGGACGCTGAAAGCCTGGGTGTGCAGGCTGCTGCTGGGCACGTTCATGCCCACCCTGGGGCAGAGCCCAGGTGATGCCTGCACATGAACAAAGTTAGCAGAGGCCTCTTTGCAGGTGCCAGAGGAGATTAGAAATACACTTAGGATGCATTTTGCCTGTTTTTCTACATGAGAACCAGCGTCTCACTAGAGTTGAACATTTTAACAGAAGTTTACGGATCGCTTTTAGGCATACTGCAAGGGGATGATGGAGGGTGTGCTAGGGGCTAAGCATGCTAACTGTTCAAGCTCCGCCAGCTCTGGCGGTTATGGGCGCACAGTGAATCTTATCTAGGAGACAGCCTAAGCACGCTCCGCTATAGTAACTTCCTGTATCCCTGATCCGCACCAAGGTCCAGGGGCTGGAATGCCCTGAACAACTGACCTTGGGAAGTAGGTTTCCACAATAGCTATTGTAGTTTCAGGAGCCAGATGTGACAAACTACCAGACTGAGGGGCTGGAAGGGGAGGATATTCCTGAGCCATCGGCAGCCCGAGGCTCACCTCAATGCTCCCCCAGGCCCTCCTGTCCTCCCCGTCATCTCATTGCCTTTCAAATGCCTCTTGAGCTCTGCTCTTTGCTCAGCTTAGTGTCTGTCAGGCCGCCCTTCGTGTCCAGGTCGTCAAAAGCACGAAATTTGAGCACTGCCCCCCCCCCCCCGCCACTGCAGCCCAGGACGGCAGCGGGGCACGCGGGGCGGGGGCGGGGGGTGGGGTAACGTCAGAACATGTCATTGTGCAGCTCTGGCTACTCACCTCCCATCTCGGATTCCCAGGACAACTTGTATAAAATGGGGGTAATTTTATGCCTACCCCATGTAAGAAGTAAGTTAGACAATGTCAGTGGCTGGCACATAGTAAGGGTGTAGTAAGACACTAGCTGGGGGAGGCTCATGGGGTCACACTGTCCCTAGAGGTGAAACACACAAGGATCGCTCCTGCGCATAGGGAGAGGCGGGGGGGGGGCCCTGCCTCCACTCCCGTCCCGTCTCTCTCCCCAAACCCGTCTCTTCTCTTCTCTCCCTCTCCCTCCCTCTACCTTAAAGGCCCCGCACAATCAGCAGCCAGTGACATTCTTAGAATGGATGGCAGAATGTGCCCAAGACAGTACCAGCTCAGAGCAGTAGAGAAGAAAAAGGGAAGATTAAAAACATAGCTTATGCTTCTTGTAAGCTGCTCTGACTAGCAATATATAGATTCATTTTATGTGTTAACATTGGTTAACAGATTTATTTTTTTTTTAAATTACAGTCTATGCCCAGGAGCCTCTGATTCCAACTTTTGTACTGTATTTGCCTCCCAGAGACCCCTTGATTTGAAAGACTTGGGAGTACCAAAGAAAGCCTGTATGTATTAAGTCATTACTCATTTTATTTTCCCATGTACATTCAAAGGCTCTATAATTGCCAGTTGCAGCTTCTTATCTGTCTGAGAAAACCAGGGTCACCGCCCTGAACGGATATAGTTCCAGGCGAAAGCAAGAAACTTGGTACTGACTTAACACTGTGCAGTGCAAGCATGGGAAAACAATTATGCTTCTGGGAAAATGTAAACGGGGCAAGGATGCCATTCCTTGTTTAAAATCCACACATGGGAGGGGGCAGGGGAACTGGGAACCCCAGTGGAGAGTGAACTGCCCCATCCTTTGCTGTTGCAGATTCTGACACAATGAGGAAACACCTGGGTGGATGTCAGCTGGCCATTGTCTGTGTCCTGCTCTTCAGCCAGCTCGCCTCCATCAAGGCAAGAGGCATAAGGCATAGAATCAAATGGAACAGGAAGGCCTTGCCCAGTACCTCCCAGGTCACAGAGGCCCAAAGGATGAAGGTGCAGATGCACCCCGGGGCCTTCATCAAGGAAGGCCGGAAGCTGGATATCGACTTCGGACCTGAGGGCAACAGGTACTACGAGGCCAACTATTGGCAGTTCCCCGACGGGATCCACTACAATGGCTGCTCCGAGGCCAACGTGACCAAGGAGAAGTTTGTCACCAACTGCATCAACACCACCCAGGCTGCAAACCAGGAAGAGCTGTTCCAAGAGAAACAGGACAACAAGCTTCACCAGCAGATCCTGTGGCGGCTGATCCAGGAGCTCTGCTCTGTCAAACACTGTGACTTTTGGATAGAAAAGGGAGCAGGACTTCGGGTTACCATGGACCAAACTGTGATGCTCTGCCTGCTGGTTTTCATTTGGTTCATTGTGAAATAAGCTTGAAAGCAGGCAGGCAGCCAGGTAGATGAGCAGGCTAGCAAACCAGAGTTATCCCAGTTCTCTTCCCCCAGTACCCAACCCACACATGTTCTGAAGGTACCAAAGAGCAGTGATTCTTCAGCGCTTCAAATAGCACTCCTAGGTGTCTACTTGGGTATCTGCTTGAATTTGATTGTTCACGTATCCATCCCTGCAGGCTCTACCGGAGGGTGTGTGCTCATCACTGCATCCTTTGCTCCTGCGGAGCGCGTGGCACACTGTGCTTCACAATAAATGTTTGGTGAACAGATAAAACAACACACTAGGGACTGTGCCATGCACTTCACAATACTTCCCCACAACCCTCAGAGGTGGGTGTTACTCCCTCCATGGCACCGAGGCTCGGAGAGGTGAAGTAGCTACAAAGTGGCAGAACCGGAACTCACCCCTCACTTGTCTAACCCCAGAATGCCCGCTCTGTCCAATCCCAGAGCTGCCCTGTGATCCCTGATGGCTCTCAAGGCCAAGTCCAAACAAATATCTCTGTTGAAACTATGGAAATTTCATTTTTAGAAATATGAAAAGACCTGAGCCGGTGGTCATGTATCTTGACACCTTTGTTACAGAGAGGCTTTATTTAATACTTCTAAGTAAACTAAAATATAATAAAGGTATTAAACTAAAACAGAAATAGAACGAGACAAAGGCCTGGAAATTATCTTGTAAGGAAATATCGCCACGCTGATTCTTAGAGCAGATCGGAGCCGCAGCAGCATGTTTCTGTGGCACGAGATTTTTTTTCACGAGAAGGATACGTGTTTGCAGTTCCCATCTCTGAAACAGTCCATGTATTTAAGGAAATAATTTTAAATGACATGCCTGCTTTGTAATGTTCTCCTAACTCTGTGCATGTTTGTAGGTACATGCATGCAAGCATCTTTTATATACGCTTCCTTTACTCAGGGACTCCACACGATCTCGAGCAGTATTTCTACCACCACTTTAGGCGTAGGCCATCATTGTTGTGAACTACCTAGCACTGCAGAAAGATAATTCCTTGTAGCCAAAAGGAAACAGTGTCTTTAGGGAGATCTAATAAACAATCCATACATGTCTTACCACAGAGGAAATAGAGTCAATAATATTGTAATAACTATGCACGGTGCTGGGGGGTGCTTGAAATATTGGGGGGACCAATTATTGTAAAGTCCATGATTGTCTAACCATGACAATGATGCTTTACACCTGAAACTAATACAAAATAATACTGAACATAAACTGTAATTGAAAAATAAAATAAAAATAATTCATCCATACCCTAAGCAAGAATAGATACATCACTTTTTATCTGTTTATTATTAGTTAAAATATATATTACAAAAATATTATTTAATTTTAGTTAAAAATAAATATTACAATATATAAGTACACTTAAATAAAAATAATGACTCTAATGCTCTAAGATGCCCCCATGGACCCTCTTGGGTAAACTCAGAGATTCACAGGAGTTGTTGAACAACATTTGGCGATAACAGCTTCTGAATATTATCAAGTCTCCTATAAAGAGAGTCTGTGAGAGAAAAAAGTGCATTGTCAGACAATTTATCTGAAGTATTTTAAAACATGAATGTTGATAATCGTACCTCTTGTTCTGAGCCTCCACTGTTATCAGTGTTCTTCTCAAGGATACATTTGGAAGGATCGAACATAGAAAGAGGCTGGAGGACTTGGGGGCAGGGCAGCCCAGGAAGCAGCCTGCCCTGGGGCCACCCACGGGGAGACAGAGGGTGCCCCACCCCATGGTCTTGGTTCTCATGCTGCCAGCACCTCTCTCACCACCTGCTTCCAGTGGCCTGTTGAATTCTTTCACAGAAAAAAGTTAAAGTACAGGTCTTAGGGGGGTTATTTCTTACATGTCAATTTTTAATTTTTATTTTCTGAGTAATAACCATACCAATATATACAGAAAGAACAAATGCTTATAAACTGATGTTGAAATTTCAGGTTCTGGCTCTTCTGGGTTTAATTACAAGGGCACACATAGCCACATAAGCAAAATGACTTCATTTCTGATATGAAAACATTTAGCCAATGATGTAGTGCATTTTCTAAAATTGCTTGTCATTTCTCATTTCTTTAATAGTTCCAGAAACCAGATTTAGGTGGGGCATGAGGTAAATTTGTACATGGCGACTCAGATGCAAATTTTATTTGTGGAGCTTTTAATTGAGACTGTATGTGCTTGAACATCTTAGCTCATGTTTACAAATTATGAGGTCAAGTCAAAGCTATGTGAGTCTGGTCTTTCATTTTAGCAAAGGCATGCCAAGTACCTTCTACATGCAAGACATTGTAAGGAGCTTCTGAATTATTCTTGATAGAGTCATTTTAAATGTGAATAATTCCACCAACCATCACTTTCTCATTCCTTCTGAGTGTTGACTTTTTAAAAACTGTTTATTGTGACATTAAAATTACAACAGATATCCAAACAAAACATTGCCGCCAGTCCTAACATCTGATTAAGTCAGCATATTTATTTTTTCCTATAACTTCCCAGCCGTTATCCATTGGCATATACAAATGTACATACTTGCAATAATTATATAGGTGAGCACTTATGTTCTATTTTTTCCTCAATGTTATTGTATGCTTTCTTCATTTTTTCCTATGATTTTTTTTGTTCTTGCTTCCCCCTCTACCTTCCTCAACCCATCCTCCCTCCTTCCTGCCTTCTCTGCACTTTCATTGTGCTCAGATATATAATGGAGTTTTTTGTTTGATTACTTTTTTAAAAAATACTATAATCATACATATCACATTTATTTCTCTGCAATTTGCCTCTGTAACTTAACACTGTATCATGAACCTCTTTCCAGTTCAACAGCTAGCTAGTTAGCTAACTTGTCTTTTTATATTGTTGCATAATATTCCATAGTACAGTTGGATCCTGCTAATTTAATCATTTCCTAATTGTTGGACCTTCAGGTTTTTGTGAGTTTTTAACCGCTGCAAACAATAAACATCCTTGTTCATTCAACCTTGTAATCTGTTACTTTTATTTCTGTGGAATAGATTTATGCAGGCAGAATTTCTGGAACAAAACTGAGTCTAATTTAGATTTTTCTCAACATGACTAGATTATGTTCACATGGGTAGAGCAATTCCCTTTGCCACCTGCAGAGTGTGGCATTAACTTATAAGAGCTGTTACGTCATTTAAGTATGAGAAGCTGCCTTTTCCACAAGTGCTGCTTGAGCATCTTCTCCCCTTTGCAGATTACACATCTAACACTTTCCAAGTAACTTCTGACCACAGGACCACTTGAAAATCCTAAAACTGTGAGCAATTCCCACTCTTAATCTGGTCTCTGGCCCAAAACATCTGGATGAGAAGTCTGGAGAGCAGGCAGTGTGTGTGCAGGCTTCCTGATCAGAGGGCGATGTATTTGAACAACCCCACAATCCCCAATGGCCAGGGGAAACATCAAGTTTCGTTTTCTAGTGACTCTTTAGTAAAATTACACACACAAGTACTTGCCAGTCATAAAGCCCAAAAGGAACAGGCATCAAGCGCACTTGGTTAAAGTAGCCCACGCTGCCCCTGAACGAGCATCTCCCTGGAGCTCCTTGTACCCTACCTTGCTTAGGATGTGCCTGGTAACAATTAGACATCCCACCCTCTGGTCCTATTGAGATGTGTCCCAGGTAGTGGTCACTAGCTTTTCTTGAGCTGCCCACACTACCTCAGGCTTTCTGATAAAAAGTGACTGAACTGGAGCAGTGGGCCATTAGGTCAGGGACCCCTGATCTTTCGTACCTGCAGTTCGGTCACATCTTACATCTCCACCCAATGCTGTTTCTTCATGTGTTGCATGTGGCTGGACAGAGACACCCTAAGGTGTCCACATGTTGCTGCATGGCACATTCCAGAGTCTGCCAGGGTATCAACGGAAATGCTGACAGCAGGATCCATGTGCCCACATGTGGGCAGTGATAACGCACTGGCAGACCACACATGTTGGATGAGTGATCGAGAAGACACATGGATATGACATCATGACAAGTTTCAATTTCCCCAACTGAAAGCTCAGACATGGCTCTGTTGAAGAGCAGACCTCTGGCAAGCCTAGCTCATGCCAGCAGCTGTGTGTTTGCTCCCTCTACCCCAAGACTGTGCCATCAGACACAGCACAGTGCTCATTTTTCTCTCAGCCTCACTGCTGGCAGAACACCTGTTCTCAGTTGGGTACCATATTCCCTGGTGAAAGAGAAGGGAGTCAAACTCCCATGCTACTTGGAAAGATATGTACCTGCAAAATGGGAAGAAATCAGACATTTCTTGAAAAATGGGAATAAGGTACTGTGTCTCTCAGGCATCTCTAGGCCCATCCCAGACCACTGAAAGCCTGCTTCAGAAAAGCAAACTCAGCATGTTTCCTTTGGCAAATGGGAGTTGTGGGGGAGGAAGAAATTTTACTCTATCCTTCTAAGTTCTTCTGACTCGTCTCATAATTAAATCTACATGTGACAGATTAGATTAACAAAGCGAATATAACCAAATTTAATTACATTTGTATGTATAGGAACCCCACATGCATAAGAAAGTCAGAGATCCCATATACATAAGAGGCTGAGAGAGAGAAAGAGTATATGCAAATGATGTATATATGACATCCTAAGCTAATGGTAAGGTAGGGTGCCTTAGAACCTCAGAGAGGAGAAAATTCATTTGCAGGATGATAAGAGCAGATGTTCAGTAATTAGATGTTTGCCCTGCCCTATAGATAAGATAGGTGATAAAAAGTCATTTCTGGGACTTCCAATCAAGAGGGAGGTATAGGTAGACACGCTTTACCTCCTCATGCCACTGTAGAAAGAACTACAACTAGATCTCAAAACAAGTAACACCCAGAGCCATCAGAAAATCAAGCTGTATGGAAGTCTGTCAACCAAGGACTTAAAGAAACCACATTCATGCAGACAGGCAGGAGGGGCAGACTCTCGGAGATGACCAGA